TTGACAATTACGTAAAGGAAGATGAATTTCAAGCAAATGGGCAACAATGGGATCCACCATTTTGTCTTCCCAATGAGTTCCATGGTACCCAACATATGGAGACAAGACATGGGCATCAAGAATATGTGGATGAACCCATCATTATTTTGCATTTAAAGTTCTTTTATTACGTAAGCAGCAAAGATTTATGTCCTTTTCTATTTTTTTATAATTTTTTTATTAATAAAATTTATCATAAATGAATTTATTTTAAAAAAATTTAATAAATATTTAATTTATCAAATTAATATCAAAGTAACATGCAATTTTATCTAATTAAAATTTAATATATCAAATTAATACCAAATTAATATTCAATTGATCAAATTAACATTCAATTTCGTCTAATAAACATTCAACTCATCAAATTAACACTTAATTTCTTCCAATTAATATTCAATTCATAAAATTAATAGCAAATTAACATGAATTTCAGCCAATTTATTTTTAAATTCATCCAATTAACACTCAATTTATCAAATTAACTTCTAAAATCATCAAATAGAGATTCAATTTATCATATTAATATTTATTTTCATCTAATTAATATTAAATTTTATATAATAAACATTCAATTAATCAAATTAATATTCAAATTTAACTAGTTAATATTAAATTTATCAAATTAACATTCAATTTAATCCAATTAACAACCAATTCATCAAATTATATTCAATTATAGAGAGGGTGTGAGTTAAATTTTTCCTAAAATATATCTGAACACTTTGGTAAAATTACATTTAGTAAAAATTTAAAAAATAGAGAGAGTGTCCTTGAAAATATTATAAACTAAAAAGAGCGTGACTGTAATAAGATCGGTAACAAAAGAATATGATCAGTCATGACCGACTAATCCTGATTTGTAAAAGATTAAAATAAGAATTTTTATAAGACCAACAATGACCAATCGTGATTGGTAAAAACCTTAATAAGATTGGTCATGATAAAGCAGGAATCTTGTTACAGTTGTAACTCACCTTGAAAAAAAAAATGGTAACTTAGAAAAGGTGTTATCCTTACTCTGAAGAAATGATATTACACATTTTTTGAGTAAGAATAATATTTTTTGGGTATAAAATTAGCACTTTTTTGAGGTAATACTAGCACTTTATTGAATGAGAAATCTACGATAACTTACCACCTAAAATGTGATAACTTATCTTCAAAAAGTGATAAAATTATCTAAAAGACATAATTTATACTAAAATAGTGGTTTTGTACCCCTAAAAATAATATCATTACTCCTTAAAAGCGGTAATGTACCGCAAAACATGCACACTGAACTTTTTTTGTCTTTCCGTCACATTAAGTGATTAACTGATTTGGTCAATGAAAATATCTAATCAACGGTTTAAAATTATTTAGAATAGATCAAAAGTCGTTATTAAATTGATCATTCCATACCAAAAAAACAATATTAACAGCTCATGTATAGCACTACTGAATCACATATTCAACGGTCTGAGCTCGTGATGTGACGGTCTGAATCACAGCTCGTGATGTGACGGTCTGAGCGGTCAGACCTTTAAACTTTCAGCAACCGACCTCAGCCCATTTAGAATTTCAATGTCTACTTTCCGACATTTCATTTGAACTAGCAATTCACTAGCAACGGAGCACGTGAATAAATTTTATATATAAAAATTAATAAAATATATTAAATATATATATTAAAATTAAATATTATATTAAATTTAATTTTTTATTACTCATATTCTATTAAATGATTTTGAACATTTTATATATTTCTAAAATTCTTTATTCTAACTATAAAAAAAGTTATTTTTTTTTAGAATTTTGGTGATTGATCTTAATTTTTTAGTGATGCTTGAAAATTAAATTTTTTAAAATTCATTTGATTAAAATTTCACTTATATTTCGTTGAATAAATTAAAAATAATTATCATTATATTAATCACATTAGAACCTTAATATAATTAAGAATTAGTTATGTCAATTGTGATAAGATTTAATATAATATTCTATAATATATATTCTCAAGCATATTAAAATTATAAAAAAAATTAAGTTTTATTTAAAAATACAGTACAATATCTAAATTTACATAAAATCTTAATTCAACTTAGAGAATTTATTGTAATTAAAGAATGATATTATGTAACAAAAATTAATTTTAAAAAAATTATATATACAATTATTTTTTATTTTAGAAATAAAATGGTTAAACTTTTTGATGAAAAGAAATATAAATATGTAGGTATAATGTTATTTTTGTATATGAAATGAGTAAAATTAGACTGATTGAGTTTTTGAAAGTTCTTTGAATACTTTATTGAAAATATAATGATGCTATAATCAATCAATTTTGTCTTATAGAAATTGATTAAATAATTAAAAGAGACGTTATAGATAATTTAGAGATTTAAAGATATAAGAATATGATGAAAATTTAGATATTTAATTGTAAAATGATAGAATAATTTTTATAATCTTTTATAAGGGTAAAATAGAGTTTATCATCTTACATATTTTTATTAGTGTGTGTATATATATATACTGTCATTTGGCTGTAGTAGTACTTATGTACTAATAATAATATTTTGTCTGAAAACACTTAGTAATAATAAAAATTAAGCATTGATTGTGAAATATTTATATTTAGTATTAAGGAATGTGTTGATTAAATTGTCTAATATTTAGGGGTTTTTTCGCACTTTGCACTTCGAAAGATATCTCGATTCTCTCTTTGTGTCTTGATATATTATTTTTTCTATACTGCACCCTGAATGTCATAAATTGATTCCAATGTAGCTCTCGGACTAATATCTACTTCAAATTTCGTTAAAATTTGATGTACATGCTACTCACGTGTATTGTTATTGGACAAAAATATAAAATCACCATTCATATTCTTGTGTGGCATGTACACTTATTTTTAATAGAATTTGAAATGAATATTAGTTCATAGGCCACATTAAAATTAATTTATGTCATTCAAGGTATAAAGTGAAAAAAATAATCTTTCAAGGTGTAAAATGGGAATCGAAATATCATTCGGGGTATAAAGTGCATAAAAGATGATCCTTTTGAACGGGAAAAAAATTTTGAGATAAATTTTACACCAATTATCAAAGTAGATAAAAATTAAATCAACCTTGATTGTTTTTGTACTTTTATAAGTTGAGAATTGAACTTTTTAGCAATAGTACTGTATATATAGCCATCATATAAATATAGTTTAAATAGCCGTCTCTTATGCTTGGAAATGTAATTATTAGATCTTCAGCCATTGTGATATAGAATGAGTTGATATTCATGGAGGCAGAAGATCATCCCATGCTCAAAATGCAACGAAAATCGCAAAAGCAATAGGAGAGACATAGTAATTCAGAACGCAACGATCTTCTCCCTTCAACAAAATGATCAATAGAACTGGAATGGAACGAGATGAGAATGTGATTTGATTACAAAATGACCCAATGATTATAAAAAAATAGCTTTGTTGTGACAGAATGATCAATTTTCGGCAATTCCCGTAAAATGCAGATGAAATACAGTTTTAGTTTATTGGGTGTTGTTATTCTCGTCCCTTAAATTTTTTTTTTTACTCTATTTAATCATTTTATTTCAAATTATTAAGTTCACTTCATTTATACCCAATAAATTAGTTATTAAACTTATTCCGTCTAAATTTATTCAATTTTATTTCAACCTACTTTATATAGATAATGATCAAAATTTCATTTCGATATATTATTTTGGTATGAAAATATTTCAAAAGAAAAATAAAAATTAATAATTATTTTTAAAATATTAATCAAAATATCTTAAAACACATCAAAATATTTCAAAGACATTGGTCAAAATATCTTAAAAAACTTCAAAATAATATAGATCACCTTAGAACATTAAAATTTTGCTTCAATTAATATTTTTGTTTTGATTTCTTTAACATATATTTAATAGTTTAATTGAATGAATATAAATAGGGTGAACTTAATAGTTTAAATTAAGATGATTAAATGAGGTGAAAAAAGAGATTTAAGGGAAGGGAATAACCTCACCCTTGTTTATTAGACTAACTCCAATTTTTATTTTTGAGGATTTTGCTTATAATAATATTATTTAAACATAATTTATTAACATAATTTATGATAACTATTGAATTAGTAATGTATCTTAATAAATAATGTAGACCTTTATCAATCAAATGATTATAAATGATTAGGCGCAAATAACATTGCTATTTGGTTTAATAAAGTTTTGGTTATCCTTAAATTGCTTATGGATAATAGTATGAGTTTTTTTTTTTTTTTTTTATGAATATTAAAAAAATTATTTTTTTATAATTAAAAAAAATATGGGATAAATGAGAGTATTCAGTAGTTATTTTAATACGTCCTTATTGAGGGGATTATGAGGCCCCTGATCGGATCCGTTACTCCTTTCAAAAATTAATTTAGTTAAGCTAATATAACGGTTAATCGTCGAACTCTAATATAAACTTCAAAATTCAAATTATCGAACTCTAATATAAACTTCAAAATTCAAATTGGCCGGTAGCTCAGCGGACCACCTCCGTTATTAAAAAAGTTGTTGCGCTCGCAACCAAAGTCGCATGGTTGCCTTCGGTAGATGTCTGCCTTGAGTAGAAGTCAAACATCCATTATGAATCCTACTGGAAACTTTTGCACGTTTGATTTTAGCAATGAAGTCAACTAAAATCTCATTGGCCTACGAGATTTCACTTTTGGAGGTTCTCCTGCTGTACCCCATCCACTCCAAGTAAACCCAAAAACAAACGCGTTTGAAGCAGCGAAGTTTGAAAATAGTTAACACCATGCACACACCCTACATATTCTCTCTCTCTGTCTCTCTCAAGCACACCAATACTGAGAAACAAGTTTACTTGTCTATAAATGGAGAATTCAGTAAGAGAAATGTCACACAATCCAAATTTTTAGAATTTTAGCAAGCTCATTAGGATTCTACGCTCCTTAATGGCCTCCCTTAGAAACCTCTTGGTTACCCTCTCCATGGTGTCACTTATGGCATGTTTTGCCAATGCGCAGCTTTCACCAAACTTTTATGCCTCTTCGTGCCCTAATCTCCAACTCATTGTGCGTAACGCAATGAGGGAAGCGATTAACAGAGAGCTGCGCCTTGGAGCCTCTATCCTCCGCTTGTTCTTCCACGACTGCTTCGTAAATGTAAGATTGTACTTGCATTTTGACGTTTAATTCGAGTCTATTTCTTTGCTAAAGAAGTTCAAAAGTTTATGAAAAATTATATAATTATAAGTTATTGTACTCTAAGACTTGTATAGTACAATATATTTTGCTTTACATTAAGGTTGTACAACATTAAAACCAATTGTAATGTCTCTAGCTATATGATTTAGAGTATTATACAGGAAAATGCTATTTGGATTTAATTTGTGAATTTTATTTAAAAATCTAATGATGTACAACTATTAAATTGATTGTTGACTCCATCTAACATTAAAATTTATAATTAATCTAACGATTGCATTAAAGCCACATATCTATAGAGATTTGGAACCGGGTCAGTCAGCAGAATGCAAAAAGTTCTTAAATAAATTGTAGCTCCATTGCTTCTTCTATCATAAGTAATATTGTTAATCATTTTCTTTTGAGAGCGGCAGGGTTGTGATGCATCGATACTTCTGGACGATACCGCAACTTTCACGGGCGAGAAAAATGCAGGCCCAAACCAAAATTCAGCAAGAGGTTTTGATGTGATTGACACCATTAAAACACGGGTTGAAGCCGCTTGTACTGGCACAGTATCTTGTGCAGACATCCTGGCGCTTGCAGCACGAGATGGAGTTGTCTTGGTGAGAAACAGATCAAGTTTCTACTTCATTAGTAGCTATAATCCACGCATGCATGTTTGTCTATACCACGTACAATATAATATATATATACAGTCATAATATTTCTCAAGGTATGATTGAATGTAAAATTTAAAATTCAAGCGACAAAAAAATCGATCTCACTGTATCACTATATCAAGTTTCAATTTTGCGTACTTTCTCTTTCATTAATTACAGAAATGCACACAAAGACAGAATGATTTTTTATTATGATGTATTGGTTTGTACTTGACATGTATGAAAAATAAATATCTTTATCCTTAATCTTTGGATTAGCTGGGAGGACCTACATGGGCAGTCCCGTTGGGCCGAAGAGACGCAAGAACAGCGAGCCAGAGTGCCGCTAATAGCCAAATTCCATCACCATTCTCTAGCCTCTCAACCCTAATCTCCAATTTTGCTGCTAAAGGCCTAAATGCTCGTGATATGACCGCGCTCTCTGGTGGCCACACCATCGGCTTCTCACAGTGTTTTACGTTCAGAAGCCGTATATATAATGACACGAACATTGCCCCAATGTTTGCAGCCAATCGCAGGGGCGTCTGCCCGGCTTCAGGTGGGGATTCGAACTTGGCCCCCCTTGATATACAAAGCCCTAACCGGTTCGGCAACACCTACTACCAGAACCTTGTTAGTCAACGTGGGCTACTCCATTCAGATCAAGAGCTTTTCAATGGTGGATCACAAGATGCATTGGTTAGGCTTTACAGCACTAATCCCACTGCTTTTTCTAATGACTTTGCTGCTGCCATGGTAAGAATGGGCAATATAAGCCCCCTTACTGGAACAAATGGAGAGATAAGAAGAAGATGCAGTGTGGTTAACTGATTTAATTTGGGGCTTTATTCGGATCATCGTGTTGGCTCTAGTTTCTTTCTTCATGTTTTCGATTACTGAATTGTAATAATAAGTGGCAAATTGAACCGAATAGTCCTTTCCATTGGCTCAATTTTGCATTTGCATTGGTCTCTCTCTCCCCTACCCCACGTGTGGGACATAAGCCCTCCTCGTCTAACAAAAAAATATTGCAATAGTCTTAAGTCACATCTTTGTTCAAAAATAAGTCTTAAGTCACATCAACTCATGCAGTTTGTAACACAAAAATATTGCAATAGTCCAAGTTGCATCAAAGCAAAAATGAGAGAATAATTCTTCACACTAAGTCAAACAATGCATCAAGAAATAAAAAATGGTACAATCACTTCCTTTCAGCTGTTTCCCCATCCCCGTATTCAAAACCTCCACTTCTTCATTCCTTTCTCTTCCATTTGCAGCATCCTCTTTCTTTTGTCACTTCCTAGACGGTAGTGTTCTTCACTCCCAGAATGCACAAAAACGCAATTAGAAGATGGATGTAAAGGAGCATTAGACATAACACACATGGAACTCAATTCAAACTCGAGACTAAAAGAAGACAACTCTGACAAGATTTTAGCAGTACTATACAAAGACAAAATAAACAGAAAATCAACCGAAATAATGTAATACTTCACTTAGAAAATTATACATGAGAACACTCTCCGATCTAATATACATAGTGTTCCCATATTTTCAACCGTGGCAAAAGAACATACGGATTAATTCAAGTGTCTTTTACTCTATTGCATACGCTTTCCACCTCATTTTTTCTCAACATGAACGTATGTTAAACTAACTATGATACCATAAAATGTTCTGCAAACTATAGTAGCTACTCAATTCTTCCCAGACCTGAATTTTCTTGCTAAAAAACAGGTAGTTACGACAATAATTATTTAAGGGTGCCTTTCAACAGAAAGTTAAACAATAACACAAAAGAAACCTCAATTTCGCAAAATCTCATATACACGTAATGCTTTAGAGGACCCTATTATGAACATCATCATTAGTTGCCACCTCAATTTGTAAGAAAGAGAACAGTCAAAACTCATTCAGAAAAGTCCCTTGAAAATTTATAGAATGAACAAAATAAAAACAATTGAAAAATTAAATTGTCGAGTTTAGCCTAATAACAATCACTTGGAAATATATGCTCTATTAAGAACATTTTGTGACGGTGGAGTTTTGACTCAAACTAGATTAAATAATTAAGATTTTATAAGTCTCATGATGTTTTAAGAAATTATACGAACGTTACTCGAGGTCAAATTATACGTTATATTTTAATTATGGAGCATTTGATTATTACAAATTTTATCGGGTTCAAAATGAGAAATTAATTTTAGTTCTAAATATTATGAAATTAGGATATATTGTTTTTAATATAGTGGGAATCAAATTTATCAGAATTCCTTGGTGATTTGAGGTACAGGGTAGTATATAATATGCTCTTTGCAAACAATATTTTCTTAATTATCATTTGATTTGAATTCCATCTTGTGATATCATTATTCTTGGAATTTCGATTTAATATAGTTGAATATATTAATCTCATTGATCGTGTTTTGCGTGGATTGAGACGGGATCGTGGTAACCAATAATCCGATGTATCGCCAGCCAATAGACCCGGGGGATTGGGTTAAGGTAGGATGATTAGTAAGGTGTCAGATCCACGTTTAGATCTCGCATGACGTGTGATGTGCGAATATAATATGTACATATGCTGATTGAGATACTTTGTGATATTTAATTTTTTCGGTATTTAATATCCTTGAGCATATTATTCCTCATCATATTGTATATTTTTCCGCTTTATTTAACATTTTTCAAGTTGACCATGGGGAAAAGTTCGGGTTGAGATATTTGGAAAAGTTAAAGATGAGCTTGTTTTGATATAATTTTGTGATAGTCAATTTGAAAGATGTATTTATATTTAGAGATTATATTGATAATTTTAATTTTATTAGGATAATTAGTGTTATGTTATTTTTATTCAGGTGTATTTGTATCAAATAATGTCTTTGAGATATCGGAGCGTCATAGTTTAATATCAAAGCATAGGTTAGAGATTTTGTAGATTGTCTTAGTTTAATTACTTAGGATGATGACATGAGGGTAATAGAGGAGCTAATTTTAGGTGCATAAAATTATATTGAATTGTACGGTCGAAATTAGTATGTGATTCATCACTTGTAAATTTTGAGGACAATTTTTTTTTAAGGTGGGTGGATTATGATGATCGAGTGTTGACTCGAACTAGATTAAATAATTAAGATTTTATGGGTCTCATGATGTATTAAGAAATTATATAAACATTACTCAAGGTCAAATTATATGTTAGATTTTATTTATGGAATATGTGATTATTACAAATTTTATTGGTTCAAAATGAGATAGCAATTTTTGTCCTAAATTTTATGAAATTGAGATATATTGTTCTTAATACAGGCGTGGACCATGAGGAAGGACAAGGCCATGAAGCAGGGCATTTACGATCGCTTGGTTGCCCTAGAGAAAAATGAGACTCTATATGCCAAAGTCTGTAAGCTTTGTGAAGAGGTGCTCGTTCTCTAGGGCCAAATAATCAAGCTTGAGGAGCAAAGAGAGCATCTGAAATGTTTGAATGATTATTTGAAGTCTTCAAAGGCAGTAGTTTCCCGCGAGCTCTTCCAAACCCAAGGGGAACATGTTGCTCTCCTTGAAGAATTTAAGGCCTTCAAGTCAAATCCAGAGCTAGGGAAGATGATGAAGATTGGATGGAGAGCGTCGATTCGTGCCTCTGGTGTTCCCTTATCCTCTAAGCTCTTTTCTCGTCATGATGCTTGGTGTATTTCTTCTTCTACTACGATTTTGACAACCAATCTCCCTTAAAATATGCACTTTTATTTATTTATTTTTTACAATAAACCCTCTTTTGATCATGAATGAAATACTTTTTTTATATGAAATTTCTTTGTTCTCCCCCACCCTTTTGAGAGAGGTTCAAAACTCGGGCGTGTCTTTTGAATTACGCCCTCCTCTTGTAGCAAGGAGGCTTGACATCAATAAAGTGCTTGGGCCTCTTTGATACTTAGAAAAGTTTTGAGTGATGCCCCCTTTTCCCCTAACAAAGAGGCTTGGTTTCAATAAAGGGCTAGGGCCTCTTAGATACTTAGACAAATTTTCGAGTAATGCTCCCTTCCCTTGGCAAAGAAGCTCGGCCTCAATAAAGGGTTAGGGCCCACTTTACCTAGCAAAGAGATTCAACCTCAATGAAGGTTACGACATCTTGATACTTAGAGTTTTGTTTGAGTAATGCCTCCTTCCCCTAGCAAAGAGGTTTGGCCTCAATGAAGGGATATGATCTTTTCATACAGAAGAATTTTTTGAGTAATGCCCCCTTCCCCTAGCAAAGAGGGTTGACCTCAACGAAGGACTAGGGCCTCTTGATATTTATAATTTTTTTTAGTAATGCTCCCTTCCCCTAGAAAAGAGGACCAGCCTCAATGAAGGGCTCATGCCTTGTTTATTGCAACCGTTGTACTGACCTGTCGAAACAAGTGGTCTAAAATCTTATCTCTTGGCTTACACCGTCATACTTAGCCTTGGGTCTAAGTTTGACTGGGTGGCTGCACCTAAGCTAGGTCACTGTCCTATTTAGGAATGTTTTCTTCCCTACCTTGGTAGTAGGTTGAATCTTGTCTAGGTCTTCCTTGATCTTTTGCCCAGAATTTCATTCTTGGACTTTTTCCTTTGTTGTGGCAAATGCTCATTGTATAATTTTGAAGCAAGTTCATAAAGGTACTTTGCAATGGAATTCTTATTCATTGAAACGAGTACTTTAAAATTTTTCAAACTTAAAACTACGTGGCTTTAAGTCAATTACAATTTTGCTGGAGGTACTCTAGTCTAATGATTGAATGTACTTCAATCTTTTCCTATTTCTGGAAGCACTTCATGTGAAATCCGAAAAAATTTAAACCTTTTCTTAGAAAGGGTAAAATGGTAATTTGTCATCCTAATGCGTATTTAAAATACTCATGTTCTAGACCTCGGATGAGGAAATAGAGTTCGCCGTTAGATTTGTATCACAAAATCTAGTCACCTTATCAAATTTCGTTAAATTCCGAGATAGTAGGATTTTTGCACATCGTTCGAGGCGATTACAAGCAAGGTGAATGACATTTTAAAGGTCCCCAAAAATGAATCTTTTAAAAGTTTCTTAAAATTAAGTTAAAGTTCCAATAAAATTAATTTGAACTAAATCCGAGGTATAACGAATCATTTAGGGACGAAAAACGGACTCGGAAGTCGGAAATATGTAGTGCGATATGAACCGCACATTTGGGACTATCAATATCTATTTAAATTAGATATTTTGAGAAAAATATCTCATTGTTCTTGACCCTTGGCCGGCCATAGAGAGAAGAGAGTGAAAAGAGAGAAAACAAGTAAGTTCTTCAAGCTTCAATCCAAGATTCCGGAAGTTCGGTCGATCAGAATTCGTCGAGCCAAGAATCAAAGTTTATCTCCTTGATGAGGGCTAGGTGTACGTACCAAGAAAAGTGGATTTCACCGAAGGTCCAAAGAAAAAAATTTGGAAGAATCAAAGGTTCTTGGGCTTGTTTTGGTGTTTTTAGAAGTTCTACCACTTCCTACACGCTACAAGAGGTAGGGTTCTTCCTACTTAGGTTTTACTCCTACCTTAAGGGGTCATTTTTGTGGCTAAAACATGACTGGTTTGTGGCTGATTTATGGGCTGTCTAGTGTCCATTTATGGACTGTTTAAGGGGCTGCTTAGTGGCGGAATTGTGGGCTGCTTAGTGGTTGATTTATGAGCTGTTTTATGGTTGTTTTAGAGGGCTGTTTATGGCTATTTTATGGGCTATCTTATGGCTGTTTATTGGGATTGTTTTATAGCCGTTTAGGGACTGTTTAAGGGGCAATTTAGTGGCTGAATTGTGGGCTGCTTAGTGGCTAATTTGTGAGCTGTTTAGTAGCTAAATTTTGGGCCACTATAGACTGATTTTTTTTGTGGGCTGTTATGTGCTATATTTTGTCTTTTAAATTAAGTGTGTTTTTGACATAGATTATGTAATAACATGCTTGTCAATTGGGTTGAATATAAATGTTGACACATGCTAGTTGATGTTTTGACATAGTGATAAAATTTTAGAGATTATTTGCATATGATATAAATCGTCATGGTGGACATTGATATATAGAAATTGTTCATTTGGCAAGCATTCTAATATGGACATGAAATTGACATCACATTCATGGGCATGAGTCATGAGTGTGGGTATGTGTATGCATGGTCCATCAACCACCATTCTTGGTGATTGATGGGTGGACTCGGGAAAGTTGGGTTGAAAATTCGAATGAGTTATATGGTTGCATGAAAGAAAAACTTGTGTTGGGTATAGCAAGAAGAGGTAGATTCCCCCCTTGGGTGCAAGACCTGGCGGCTTGGTTATACACTCCCCTATGGTGAAATTCTAGAAAAGTGTAGTATGGTGTACGGAATCGGTGGTATAAAATCCAAAATCCATTGCCCAACAAGACACAAAATTTTGATTTATAAAGTACTCATACAATGAGTAACACCCATCAATGATTTGGTTCTATAATAAAACAACTTTTATTTAAAACGATCATTTAGTGGATTTTTTTCGTCAATTGACGGATTCAGTATACCTTGGCATTGCATTGTGTCGTGGGAGTCGGTGATGACTTGGATTTAAGTGCATGAGTGAGTATCATTTCATTTAATGGCATGACATGGTTGCATTCAACATTTAATGCATATTCTTGTCTGGAATGATCGTTATATGCTGTTTGTTGCTTATACACACCACATATGCATCTAAGGCGGGGAGTAGTCTCTGTAGGGATTATTCTACTAGGCATTGGCTCACCCTATACGGGAAAATATTTCAGGTGGGAGAGATACACTGGTGGATGGCTCCAATTTGAACCCTCATGTTTGAAGAAAGTCGAATGTGGCTTTATTTTGTGTTGATGTAAAATATTTGTGGAAAGAATATTTTAAGCATGTAATCTTTTCAATTGTAATAGAACTTATATGGACTATTGTTAAACTAATCTTGCATGTTTTGATATAAATATGAATGATTGGACCCGGTGTGGTCAAGTTTTACTTATAAATGGACCCTGTGTGGTCATTGTGTTATATGGGACCTCGGNTTTTGATATAAATATGGACAATTGGACCTGGTGTGGCCAATGTTTACTTATTATTGAACCTCGGATGTGTCTTGTTATTAAATGATTGCACAGGTTGAGTTTTGAGTAGAGCTTCCTGTACAAAGGAGACTCTGCCCGAATTTCGTAAAAATTATGGTTCCCGGTAAATGGGACATAATGGTGCGATATCGAATTACTTGGTATCCACGAGTATTCCACGGATTGATAGGTAATCAACGGACCCCGAATTTTGGGGCGTCACACTTCAACAGTAGTATTTTCGAAGGTTTTCAGCATTCCATGGTCGTGGAATTGACTTTTCTTCCAATGTTTCAAGTTCATACAATTCGGTCCCTCCAATCGATATGACCTCATATGGTCCTTCCCAATTGGCTTGACCGGTTACTTGGTATCTTTGTTGACTGAACAACCAAATAACTAGTTTGTCTCAGATTTGTCAGGTAGGTCGGCCCAATGCTTGATTAACTGAACTGCTGGCTTAGCCAAGGCAATCTATTACTTAATACCTTTTTGCCACTTGTCTTATGACATGTGTTTGTGTCAATTGGAATCATTATATGGCCTACTCATGTGCAGTCAGTTTGCGCCCCTTCAGCATCCTTGAAGGTACTAGTAGAACCGGTTTATATACTACAAATTATATCAGATCTTTAGTAATTCATTGGTAAATCAACTTTGATTCTCTATCAACCAATAATGTGGGACTTTTAACATAGTTAAAACTAAACCGTTTGAAGTCCAGACGCAACATGGTACTCTTTCTACCACTCTGTTAATATAGAGTGGTTTCAAAATCAATATTTTATCGATATAGAACACTCTACAAAAAATGGGATTTATAAAAAATGAGTTGATTCAGAAAGGAGGATCGAACTAGGTGTGCAAAAATGTACCATCCTTTTGTATCCCTATTCGAATCCAATTTGATTAATTCATTCCCGAATTTACTCTTAGCAACTCTTATATTTGAAGCAAGAAGTCGTCTAATTAGACCGCGAATGACAAATATTTGGAAAAGCTCTATAGCTATTTCCCGATGTAATCCACATCGATGTAATGAAAGTTAAGGGCCCACAACACCATTAATTCTCCCGAGAGGTCACAATTGCCACAAGCAAACATATTAATGACGAGGAATGCATTTTTGTTATGCTACTAATACTTGTACTTGCTCTGCTATTCTGCCCAAGTCTGGCTTAGGTCCGAGATCTACATCTATGAATTGAAAGGTCCGAATTATGCTTCCCTTCACATTAGTACTCATGTATTATAAACAATATGTACATTCTCTCAAGATTTCTATTTATATCTCTAAAGAATTGTTGACAACTGAAAGTGAATTACTCCTTTTTGGATATTACACCTTATTGACCTAGGGTCTTCAAATTTCTCCATTATACTCTCTCTCTCTCACTCCCTCACTCTCTCTCTGTTTCTAGAGGCACGTGAGTCGTACTAAGCATGCCTAGTTTGATTAGATTATAATATAATCAAGATCTATAAGTTGAATCGAAGTATAAACTAAATTGAATTGCTATGTTGTTGTCAAGTTAATAGAAAGAAAATAAAAGATTAAAAAGAAACAAGTGTTAGATCATGTATTTGTAATTGACTAATTTCGTGGAGTCCATTGTAAAATCTTAACCATTTCGATAGTCATGATG